GGATAGTAAGTGGAGGGGTGTCCTACCGAAATCGTACAGTAGATAATAGTGGAGGGAGACCCATAGAGTACCTAAGGGGTAACTTGGGCGCAGTCACGAAAACAGTTTGTAATTGCACTTCAGGCAATCCCGCGAATACAACGCACCCCCACGCCACCCCACCGGACCCGAAACGTAGGTCATATACATTCAGCATTACCGGCCCTTTTGCCTCAAGTGCATTTACAAACTCAAACCCTGACTGCGCCGTAGTTTTCTCAATTTTGAATTTGGGCCATTTCTCAAATTTTCTCCTGATTTCGACATGCTGTGTGGCTAGGAGAAAATGTCGAAAATGTTATTAAAAAAAAAAAAAAAAAAGTCGAAAATGCTGTTTTCGACATTGGTGTGCCGTTTTCGACATTGATTTAGAGAATTTTAGACACACATGCACGCAGCTGCTGTACCGCGAGTGCAATTTTACAGTAATAAAAAAAACTGCGGAAATGAGTAATATGCCCTTAGAGAATACAAACACACGAGTTTGAACTCAGATGGGCAATCAACGAGTACTGAGGTTACCTGCGGGTCGCCGGGTCCTAGACTGAGGAGCTCAGAGGCGTACTCACAATATTAGTACCGGTAGCGCGATCTTAAAAAATGGATGGATTTGACCGTATAGACGGCCGCACGTGGACGCAAGTGACCGCAATTCCGTCCCGAAACGGGCTAAAAGAAGTAAACAAGGGCTAGTGTGTGTGAGAATGGCATGCCCTCAATGTGGTCCACGCATGAGCTGTTTACATACAGACCCAAGTTCGCGTCCAGATGCAATCAAATGGACAGAATCTGTTAAAAAAAATGAAAGATAAAAAAAAAAAAGGACAGAAATAAATAATTATGAATCACCTGCCTGGGCCGGTCAGCTCAATCATGACACCTCAGGGGGACGGACCGACTCAAGTACTGTGAGGTTGGTTCGGGCCTCAAGACGATCATACGCGGACTGGTGGTAATTTGTGAACTGAATGTGGAGGGTTAAAATGGCATCATTTTTTTTTTTTTTTTTTTTTATAAAGATGGCATCATTTGCGGGCCTTTATTATGCGATAGACAATATAATTATAGAGTAAAACAATACACACAGCAAAAAAAAAAAAAAAAAAAAAAAAAAAAACATCATGGAGGAACTTCAAAGTGTTTCGTGTGTGTTTCCTTTCGACGTTCCTGTGGTTCTGTCTGAGGGCGTACTCGCACTAGCAGTACATCACATGTATCTGACCAGATTCACGGCCATAACGGGATGTATCTGGCCGCAGTTCCTCCAAAAATAGGTGAAAAAGTCGTAGTGTGAGTACTACCCCCTGATAGCTGTTCGCTTCGCATTTCTTTGTTTTTTTTTTTGTTGTTTTTTTTTCAAATTACATAATTCTTCTTGTTTCGTCGTTGATTGGTAATGTATTATCCTATTAGTCATTGGGCCTCGCTGCACTACTCTTGAAATGCACACAAGACAAAAATCATGTCGCTATATCTTTCCATGTTCTAGCGGAAGATTCACTCTCGTTTTGCACCTTTCCAGAGTACTGCAGCGAGGCCCATTGTCTTCTTCTTTTTTTTCTGGATTATGTGGTGTTCTAATTAGGACTTAGGATATAACAGTCAATACTAAATAGTAATATTATGATTGTAATCGATTATGTTTCACATCTTTATATTATATATTATATTATATATTATATTATATATTATATTATATATTATATTATATATTATACATTATGCAGCGTTTGATTCATAAACCTCGGGCCTTCCCCTCCCCCCCTCCAGCCCCCCGCCCCCCTATTTGTAAAATGCTAAAAAATAACCCTTCTCCCAGGCCCCTCCACCCCCCGGCCCCGAAAAAAAAAAAAAAAGGCCTGTGTGAAAAGAGAACGTCTCACAGAAAACAAAAACGACCTACGAAAAATGAGCCAGAAAAAAACGTAGGGCACTGTGAAAAACGACAAGGTACAAAATTAATCCAATTCTCAAAATTTTAACTGAGCGACACACTCTGTAATTTACTAATTTCTAAAATTTTTAAACATGCTCACGAGATTCTGCTTTGTAAATATAAATAAATAAATATATATAAAAAAAGAGGATTTTAAGAGCCGTGCAGAGTCGTCCTCATACGTTGCAAATATTGGACTCCTCCAAATGCACCTGGTCCAGAAAGGCGTCAAAGTGCATGTGGAGTCTTGAGTAGTGGAACGAGGTCTAAGGTCCCACCAGTAAAGCGGCTTGGGATTTAACTCATGCCGGAAAAAAAAAAAAAAAAAAAAAAAGGCAGTCCCGCCGGACTGTCCTTCTCTTCTCTCCTGAATCTGGACGTGTTTGTGGACAGGGGCAGAACTCGCGACCAAACTGCTTTTCTGCATCTCTGCATAAAGCTCATCCAGATTCGCGCGTGCTTCATCCGATCCTCTTTTTTTTTTTTTTTTTTTTTTTTTTTGACCTCTTTCATCCGATCCACTTTTGCTTCATCGATAGTGAGGACCACGCCCCAGTCCTTAATTTAAGATCAGTTCAGGCTCCTTTTTTTTTTTTTTTTGGCAAATATTTTTTGTACGTGCAGGAGGAAATTACTACCCAAAAAAAAAAATCCCCTTCTTTTTGCGAAGCAAGATCCACGTTTCAATTTTTTTTCAAATTTTTCATTTGCTTCGTGAAAGTCTAAATTTGACATTATTTCGCGATTTTTTTTTTTCTTTTTTTTTGTCTGCTTGTGGCGACGTTTCTTGCAGCGCAGTCAAGTGACGGGACGAGGGAGCGTTGTGCTCGGGGGACGACGCTACGTGTGACCTGATCGTGAAGGCGTCGTGCTGGGCCTGTTTCCCAGCTTGTGAGGATATATAGTATACTCCCTTAAAAAAAAAAAAAAAAAAAAAAAAAAAAAGCACTACTACTATCGGACTGCAGCAGCTCAGCAATTTTTTATTTTTTTTTGGAATCAGAATATTATATTATTATATCTAATATATCATATTCATGTATTCCAATCAATTGCTGATCATCGTTTCGAGTAACGGACTACCATGGTTGGACGCGTGCAATTCGTATCGTCGTCGATTTTTTGGTTCTCGTCTGCAAGTCCAGATCTGGAATCTGGAGGAGGAGCAAATCTCATTGAGTGATTATTTCTCGGAACCAAAAAATATTCATTAATAGTATTAAATCATTAATAAATATTATTATTTTCCGCTCGTCAACAAATATGCAGTTCGAGCTCCAAAAATTATCCAAAGCTGTTTTTTTTTTTAATCGTCGCAACAAATTGCATTCTCCCATCCTTCGATCGCCATCGCCATTGCCATCGCCATCTCCATCTCCATCTCCATCGCCATCGCCATCGCCATTCTTCGTTGACATGTTCGTCGTCGTGTTCCTGGCTATGGACTTCGGCATCCTGGGAGCAACATCGTCTTCATCTTCATCTTCATCTTCATCTTCATCTTCATCTCCATCTTCGTCTTTATAATTGATTACCATCTCTCACCATAGACGGAGTCGGCTGTGGAACCAATAGCATCACCTTCGTCATCGTCATCGCCATCGCCATCGCCATAGCCATCGCCATCGCCATGGCCATCGCCATCAAGAGAGTTGTTAAGAGATGTTTTTTTTGACATTGCTCTTCTGTAATAGCAGGTAATACGAACGGGGGGGGGGGAGGAGAAGGGAGGAGGGGAGGGAAGAAGGGAGGGTGGGAGGAGAAGGGAGGGAAGAAGGGAGAGAAGAAGGGAGGGTGGGAGGAGGGGAATGGCGATTAGTAGGGGAATATCGACGTGCTGCTGTCATTACACAAGATATTATCAACGTTACAGTCGCCATCGCTGTACTTGCACGGACTCCGCCTTTCTCACGTTCCGGCATTCGCATCACACTGGCACTAGCAGAACACAACACTAAAATCTCTCTCAGAGTCTCTCTCTCTCTCTCTCTCTCTCTCTCTCTCTCTCTCTCTCTCTCTCTCTCTCTCTCTCTCTCTCTCTCTCTCTTTGTCTATCTTCAGACAGACACAGAGGCCTGCGTCGCCGTTCCATCTGCCAATTGAAGGAGAGCAGCAACACACGTGCAAGAGAGAGAGAGAGAGAGAGAGAGAGAGAGAGAGAGAGAGAGAGAGAGAGAGAGAGAGAGAGAGAGAGAGAGCATTGATCGGTCATTGTAAATACCGAGCGGCTGAGACGATATCACATCCACTGCTCGCTGAGCTGCATACATTATACATGCAGGAGAAATTAACCTCTCCCTCCCCTCCTCCCCCCCCAGCTCCCACTCGCAGGCACTCACAGGCCCACCCCTGCGTTCTTACGATCTTCGAGTTGGCTGATTATACGTTATGCTTGAAAAACACACACACATACACCCACACACAGCAACACCCCCCCCCCCGACACACAAACGCACGGACCCCCCCCCCCCTTCCCCCCTTCCCCCCTTCCCCCCTCACACACACACACACACACACACACACACAAACAGATACAAAGACATATCCACAGAGACAGGCAGACGCAGGAGAGCGGCTGTGTGAAGCCGGCAACATTGTAATTTACTAATTTCTGAATTTATTTTATTTTATTTTTTTACGTACTGAGTCGAGTCCTTGAGAAAACGTGTATCATTACGACGACGGAATGTATTTTTTGAATTAGTTTTAATATCTCCTTGCCGTCCTCAATTTTGCCTTCCCAGTTCTTTTTCGTTTTATAATTACGACGTAGGGCCTCCCGTTCTGGAGGTTTCCTTTTTTTTTTTTTTTTTTTTTCCCTGTCCTTCTCAGAAAGCACCTACTTTTTTTTTTGCTGAGAAGAGCCCGGTGAACTTGCGAAGCAAAGCCCGACCAAAGAGAAAAGGTCTCCACAGCTGCATTTCATAGTTCTTATAAAGTTATAATTGATTTTTTTGGTAAGTTTTGCAATTTGAATGTAATACGCTAATTACTCAGCCCGATACCCGCGCATTGCCAAATAGATGTGATCCCATATAGTAGATGTAGTCAGCATATGCTTTTATATAACATTTCCTTATTTCTATTTATAGACAAAGTTACATATATATCATATATATATACATACATCTATATATATATATACATGCTAATTTAATTGCTTAAATAGCCATTAGATGACCGAGCGAAGATGTTTTCTCAAATCATGGCCCGGTGCGAGGAGCCAGCACTTTGTCTTCCTCTCGCCCCTCCGCCGGGAGGAGGAGACCGCAACGGCTGCTGCGCGCCGAGCTTTTTGGGGGCCAATGAGGCTGGCGATGGCGGCGAGCGGCATGTATTGACGGTGGGGCATTATTTAGGCGCACCCTTTTTGAGGGCCAATGAGGCTGGCGATGGCGCTGCGCGCCGAGCGGATTTTTCTTCATCGTCAACGATAAAGGATACGGCGTTTTGGTTGCCCCGCCTGGATCGAGGGGCAACGACATTGGAAGAGTCGCGATTGGGAGAGTCGCGATTGGGAGAGTCGGGATTGGGAGAGTCGGGATTCCTGTTGGCAACGACCGATCAGAGTATCGAGTCCGCGGAACGCGAAAAGCTGTTCGGTATTCTGCGGCAGCGCGGGATCGAGCCGTCGATGTCATTCGTAGGCGAGCACGACACACTATCACCAACTCACGTGGATACGGTGCCCGTTGACCTGAGTGCAGCTGGGAGAAGAGAGGTCGATGGTGGTAGCGATGGTGAAGGCGATGGCGATGGCGATGGAGATGGAGATGACGAGGGAGGTGGAAGAGCCGAAGCGATAGGAGGAGGAAGAAGGAGAGGTGGAGGGGGAGGAAGAAGACGACAAGGAGGAAGAGGAAGGAAAGCCGATCGTCGCCGAGGACGACCCGGCAGCGTAATAGAGTCAGATGACAGCAATGAGGACCAAGACGGCGATGACGACGAGGAACTACACGACGACGACGAGGAGGAGGAGGAGGAGGAGGAGGAGGAGGAGGAGGAGGAGGAGGAGGGAGGGGAGGTTGATCCTATGAACACACCAACTGTGCGAAGCATGGCGGACAGTGTGTACACGTGCGGCAGCTTTCGACACTCAGCTATGGAGATATCGGAGGCAGAATCCGATCTCGAAGGAGGAGAGCGGAGGGTGAGAGAAAGCGGCGGAGGAGGAGGAGAAGGAGGAGGAAGAATAGGAAGAAGAGGAGGAGGAAGAGGAGGAAGAGGAGGAAGAGGAGGAGGAAGAGGAGGAGGAGGAGGAGGAGGACAATCCTATCAAGAAGAAGAAGCTACACTAGGGGGAGATGGAGGAGGCGGAGGAGTTGGAAGAGGCGGAGTGTGCGGTGTAAGTCGAGGGCTAGCGGAGGATGAAGATGGCGATGGCGGCAAAGCCATGTCCTGCATTTTCTCGAGCGTCGTCACCGCGGAAGAGCAGTTGTCGTCAACGAAAACTCCACCGGGGGATGGCAACGGATGGATCGGCGGCGAACTGTTGCCGTCAACAGCACATCCGCTCGAATGCGATGGCGATGGCGGGATGTTTGAGCTTTCAGGAGTGTCTGAGGACGGCAGGAGAGCGAGCGGCCATGTCCCGAGCAGATCGAACGACAGCTGGCATGTCGGGACAGAGCCGGCAGCCTGTGGCAGTCGCAGAGCGGAGAGGACGGGTGTGGGTATCATGGAAGAGGACTCGTTTCGATCTTCTACGTCGCAAGCGCTGCAGGCGGCGGAGAGGGAGGCTGGTCCCACTGCCGTTTCCGCGGATAGAGGCGGGAGGAGGAGGGGGGAGGGAGAGGGAGAGGGAGAGGGAGGGGTTGACAATGTTTCTGTTGCTAAAAATAGCACGTCGTCGTCGATCGACATGCGCACAGCCCACCTCCCACTCTCGTCTAAGAACGACTTCGTCGCCGCCACATCAACCAAAGGGAAAGCAAGACGACAAAAACAGGGGGGGTGTGGTACCGGGCATCAGGATCCCGATCATGACGTCGCAACAGCGGAGCGGCTTTCGATCGGATCTTGTCGTCATCCGGATCCCGCGTCCGCGGCATCCGTAGAGCGGCAGCGAACCGCCAGATCATATACTCCGGATGAAGACGATTTGCCCATCGAGCGCCAGCGACACCGACGATTTGCCGATCATCATGATACGCGCCGGCAATTGGACGTCGACGAGGAGGTAATCAACCACCATCCCCAAGCTGCGCAGGCGCAGCCGCCAACGCAGCAGCAGCACCAGCAGCAGCAGCAACAGCAGCAGCAGGAGCACGACTATCAGAATGGACGTCACAGGCACTTGGAAGACGACAAAGAAGAGCATCACCCTTCTTCTTATCTAGGCCGTGATCGCGATCGGGGTCATGGATTGGGACATCCTCACGCTGCGAGATCGGACGAGGAGTATCATGGCGACGGTGTGCGAAATGGAAATCACGCACGTGCACCACCTACTCCGCTCCCACCTCCTCCATTGCCTTCTACTAGCCGTCCCGTGGCTCCTCCTCCTCCTCCTCCTCCTGCTGCTG